GAACTCAGGTCCTACTGACTCCAAGGCCAGAGCTCTATCTACTTCACTACCTAGCTGCCTCATCACTTCTTTTCTTTAAGACACTGCTCAAGCTGGTCTACCTCAACTGCTGGTGCCTTCCAGTTGTCCTGATCTAGATCTTACCACTAGACCCAGATGACTCCAGAGGAAAAAGTGAGGCTGGTGACTGTGCACAGCCCTTCCTCACTTAAATCCAATTCTCTTGCAAGTCATGGCATCACCTTCCTGACGTCATGGTCCTCTTCAAGAACAAAGGACAAACAACAACCTTCCAAACTACTACATAGTTAACTACTTTGTGTATATTTGTATTTATTCACTTTATATTTATGCTGTATATATATATGGACTTCTTGTCTCCTCCATTAAAAGATAAGCTGATTACAAGCAGGAATTGTTTCATTTTTTTTGGTATAGTACTTAGATTCTTAGTGCCTAGCACAATGCCAGGCACAAAGTAGGTGCTAAATGAAGACTTTGATTGATTGATGGTCACCTCATTCAAGATGCCAGGCTTTCAATTGATTTGATTGAGTCAAAAAGGTTTGGTCCACTCAAATGATATGCTTTTAAAAATCAAGATATAATTACCAAAACAGCTAAGCATAAGAAGCCACTAACTAAAATGTCTAAGTGATATTTAAAGAGCTACACCTTTTAGAATAGGAAATGAAGAAATAAAAATGACCCTTTGTTTAGCACCTAGGTTTAGGGCTCACCTCTTCCTGAAATCTGCTGTCAAGTTAACCCAGCTTAACTGGCCTGAGGAATGTCACTCTCCCCTTAATTAGCCATTCAGTATCTTTCCTGCTTTTTTTGCAATTTATGTGGGAACCTAATAATTCAGCATTTCTCACATGGTACTTAGGCTGAACAGTGGAAGAAGTTAGGGGGACTAAGAAAAGACAGAGAATTCCAGGTATGGAGGAATACTCTATGCAAAAACATATTAGTGGGAGATGCAGTTGCTGTTGTTTGTCTTTTGTTCTCAAAGAGAACCATGACATCAGGGAAGTGTTGCCATGACATGCAAGTGAATTGGATTTAAGCGAGGAAAGGCTGTGCAAAGTCACCAGTCTCAATTTCTCCTCTGCAGCCATCTGGGTCCAGTGGACAGATACGGATCAGGACAACTGGAGATGGCACAGGATGCAGTGGGTTCCTTGGCCTTTTCAAGCTAAGGTCTTTAACAGGTCTCAGTTTGATTGAGGCAGTGCCCATTCAGTGATTTAGGCTTAATAAGAATTGAGGCAGATGATGGTCTCTTTATCTAGTCAAAAATTTAAACAAACAAACAAAAATAAATAAAAATGATCTGGGAGGGGACTACCCTCAGGTTTCTGGTCAAAATAGAAATAATTGCTGTTTACATTCATTCGGAATCACTTCGCCTGGGACTATTGTTTGCCAAATAATGAGAGGTAGAATGATTTGGAGTTAAGGCTGGTCTTTAAGGTTAAAAAAAAAAAGGTTTCAGAGATTAAAATTACATTCCCTTTGGGCAGAGTATCTTCAGGTAAAGGTGTGATACCTTATGTGGACTGAGGGAAGGGGAAGAAAGAAAGAAAGAAGGAAGAAGGAAGGAAGGAAGGAAGGAAGGAAGGAAGGAAAGTCGTGTTGTCCAACTGGCCAGTTCAAGTTTGGTCTCCAGTGGGCAGCTCCTTTTCTACTCACTGGGGTTATGGAGAATAGCAGATGAGTGAGAGGGAGTGGTGAAAAAATGGGCCAGATTTAGGTGGTGAAAGGCTTTATCTGTCAAATGGAGGAGTTCACATTTTATTTTTTTTTTATTAATTTATTTTGATTTATCAACAATCACTTCCATAAGCTTTTGACTTTTGAATTTTTCTTCCCCTCC